TATAATACATAATAAAATATATGTATAATGAATAATAACTAATGTATAATATATACACATGAATGTCCACACACTTAATTCATAAATATGCACACAATACACAAAAATACATAAATACCCACACAAAACATTCATATATATGTGATATATGTTTAAATATACATTTTTGTGCATGCATGTGTATTATATAAATGAAGATGCACAAATACAAAATTTTGCTGGATCCTGCCATCCAAGATATTGAAACACACAACAAAGTCAACCACATCATTGATTGACACAAGAATGGGAAGTAAATGCATGTATCAAAATAAAGATTACAAAACTATATTTTAGGTTTTTTTTTTTTTTTTACAAGTTTCCTTTTTTTTTCCTTTGAAAGGCAAAGTTATGGAGAGAAGGAGAGAGATAGAGATAGATACTCTGCCTGCTGGTCCACTCCCCAAATGGCCATGACTGGGGCTGGGCCAGGTAGAAGCCAAGAGGTTCATTCAGGTCTCCCACAAGGGTGTACGGGCGCAACCACTTGGGCCATCTTCTGATGTCTTTCCAGGATCCTCAGCAGGGAGCTGGATCAGATGTGGAGTAGCCAGGACTCAAACTGTTGCCCTAGATTTTAGCTTTATATGGGCATATAAAATGAAGGTATGTCAAAAATGTTATAGAAAATGGAAATAAGAAAGGTTCATTTTATCACAAAATTTTTGAAATCCACATATAGTTTTTCATAATACACATTTTCATGAACTTTTGGAAAGACCCTGGTATATTACAAAGATAATATTACAATGTAATGCAAAAGGTTAAACTATCTAATAAACTCTGCTGGCTGTTCCTATGCATATGGAAGAAAATAATGTTAGATCTAATATCATTTATAAAAATACATTCCAGATGGATTGATTTTTTTCTGAATCACGTGAAAGTTGCAGACACAGTATCCTTTTACCCTGAGCACTTCTGTGTATATTTTCCAGGAATAATCATAATAAAATCAAAATCAGGATTTTAGAATCAATACAATGTTGTTACATTGTTGATGGCATTAGATAATTGAAATCTCACCAATTGTTTCATTAGTGTCTTTTAAGTAAAAGAGAGAAAAATACCTTTTTATTTTGTGGACCAAGATTCATTTCAGAGTATAACCTTGCATTCGTATGACATGTCTTTGATCTGGAATAGATACTTAGTCATTCTTTGACTTTTATCACCTTGGCTAGATTTTTTTTAGACTGTCCCTCACTTTTGTGTGTGTAACTGAAAACGTTCCTATCCATGCTTTTGATGAGTGTATTGTTTTCTGTATTTGATAGTTACCTTCAAACAGAAGTTTTTACCACTGATTTTTGGCTGCTTGTGGCTACAATAGGAGGGACCCCTGGTTCAAGGGTTTTCTTTCAAAGCCATTTGCCAATAATATTCAGAAGTACTTCTAATATCAGCCGTAACCAGCAGAAGAAAATCTACCATTTCCATATTACCTGGACGCCTTTCCTTATGCTCTTTGATTCACATTGTTTATAAATGACTGTGAAAAAGCTTTTGACTACTTATTGGCATAGAGGTAACTGTACCTGATGGATACCCTTGTGAAAACCTTAGTCAACTGCATAATCAAATTTCAAACCCAGCTAAAACAGGCCTTATTGATAAGTCCACTTAGAGAGGAAAAGTGGTTTGCTTTATAATTCTATTTAGTTCTACCAACTTTTCCTGAGTTGGCAGGTAGTCCTTGTCTTTGTTGTGAATGCTAATGTTCTCTGGCCAGCTGGCAACTGTGTTTTATTCTGCATAAATTTTTTTGGCCTTCTGTCTCTCTTCTGACACCTCAAAAACTCCTTGGGCTAGATTTTCAGCTGGTTGAAACTAGCCTTTACTTTAATAGGTGTCATTTAATTTCCTGCTTGTTTCTTTGTATAAATGCCAATGTTATAACATTTATGAAAAGGCCTGTAAACCGGACTGGCTGAGGGGAAATGAGGCTGCTGCCCTAGGAAGCCAGAACCTTAATTTTTCCTAACTTTGATTTAGTGAAGCAGGAGAACAGGGCTTGGAGTAATTTTTCTTAGATTAGACCTTGGTTCTTCTACTTTACCACTGGTGTGACTTTGGGCAATTTAAGTAGTTTCTGTGTCTAAATGTTCTTAGTTATCCATCAACAATGATGATGTTATATATTCCTAGGTAATGTTTTTATTTTTTACTTTTTATTTATTTATTTTTAAAAATTTACTCATTTGAGAGGCACAGTTAGAGAGACAGAGAGAGAGAGAGAGAGACTGTCCATCTGCTGGTTCACTCTCCAAATGGTTGCAACAGCTGGAGCTGGGCTGATCCAAAGCCAGGAGCCAGGAACTTCTTACAGGTCTCCCACATGGGTGCAGGGGCCCAAGTACTTTGGCCATCTTCAGCTGCTTTCCTGGGTGCATTAGCAGGGAGCTGGATCAGAAGTGGAGCAGCTGGGACTTGAACTGGTGTGCATATCGGATGCTGGTGCTGCAGACAGTGGCTTTACCTGCTACACCACAGCGCTGGCCCCCAGAGGTAGTATTTTTTAATGTGAGGGAGAAATAAAATGATACATGGTGTATAGCATATACGTAATAATATGTAGCAAATATTGCCTATTGTAATCAGATATGTCCTTTTAGTAAATCATGTGAATAAATATTCTGGCTATTTATTGCTGTGGTTAACAAATTACCCCAAATCTAGTGGCTTAAAACAAAAACCATTCTATTATGCCATGATACACAGAGAATTTGTGCAGGCCTGGGTGTGGTATGACTGATGTCTCTGTCATGTACAGCTTGGAAGCTGGTATAGTTTGCATAGTCCAAGAAAGCTACCTTTGTCTGGGATCCCATTAATGCGGTGGCTTGGAAGGGACAGCTGGAAGACTGATCTCAAGTTGGTCTCTCACCATCTCCATGTAGTCCCAGGTGTTCACCACATGGTCTGTCCAGCAAGTTAGTCACACTACTGGTATAGCAGATCATGGTTCCTGGAATAGCCACAAAGTATCTTATAACAATTTCAGGTTTCGCAAGGTTCCATATTTGTGGCATTCTTTTGGTTTCACAGTGTTGAGTTTATATTTCACGTGAAAAGGGACTATAGAAGTGCATGGGCACTCGGGATCATGACTCATTGAAGTGATATCTTGGAAGCAAGCTAACATAATGAGTAATTGTTTTTTCCTCAGGGGTATTCATTTATAATTGTGTCTTGTGGTCAAGTACTGGTTGAGCATATGTTCAGAGTGTCTTATTGCAAAAATACTTCTAAACAAGGCTATAGACTCATCACATGGAGTGGTTTGAAATTTTCTTAGTTCTTATTTCTGGAATGAAATTGTTGTGGGTGATCCCAGGAAAGTGTAACAAGGAATCAGATTCCTCTTTAGATTCAATATTTCCTGGTATTTTGTCTTTCAATTGAACTAATTTGAGTTCAATTTTGGAACTAATTCAATTTTGGAATCTGCCACTCATCATTGCTCTGGTTATACTCAAATATGTAAAAAGCTACCCCTTAAGATCAGTGGCTTAAGACAATAAATATTTTGTGCACCCATGTCTATAGGTCAGCCACAACTCTATTTGTCCTAGGTAAACTTAGTTGGGATCAGTTGGTTTATGCTTCAGGCTGTGAAGGAGTACAGGTCTGTTCCATGTATTTTATGTCTAGAACTGGACAGAGTTACATCCTGAATTCATGTTGAAATTCAGGAGCTCTAAGAGCCAACGCCATGTTGAACATGCTAACACCTTTAAGACCTCTGATCAAGTGACAGCCACTTATATTCCATTTGCAAAATCAAATCACATAGGTCCAAAGTCAGTATACCTGGGAAGTCTATTCTTCCCATAGAGAGATGATGAGGGAAAGAGTAATTGTGACTAACTAGTATTTTCTACCACAGAGTATATAGGCAAAGTGGAACAAGAATTCAGTTTTCTTGGGCATTCCTGAGAAAACCATCATTTTTTCATTTATAGTTTTGTCTTCCATACAGAAGAGACCATGAACTTTTTGATAATTTTTTTGGGGGGGGGCACTTAGAATTCAATGCATGGCATTAGATATTAACGATGCCATAAACAGAATTCACGATCCGATTTTTGGACTTTCTGTTATTTATATTCACTCTGTGTTTATGAAGCGCCAACACTATATTCAGCTATTGACGATGCATAGGAAATTGGTCTCTGCCCTGAGGAATTTATTTCAGAGCAATTCAAGCAATTCAGTGTCAGGCTCTCAACTTTGAACAGACAGCTGTGAAGAGGAGATAAGCTTTTGAAGATGCAGCAGAAATGGTGTTTATAGAGGGAATGAAAGTGGGAAAGATGATAGGTAACCAAGAAAGGGACAGCTTATCCAAATTTGCAAAATGAATGGTAGGGGAGGAAAAAGCAAGCAGTTCAAGTGCTAGAACAGGCAAAGGTGAGGCTCCAGCTCAGCCTTACCCTCTGCATTTTCAGAAATCCTGAGGAATTTAGACATCAACTGGATTTATTACTTGACAGAACTCTTGAAGTTTTGACTTTATGTTTATCTTGCTTTCCATCACACACTTGTTTTGTGCTGATAACACTGAGTAGTCATCATCGAGTGTAGTAAACTCCTCTCAGTCCATATGGTCATGATATTAGTAGAAAGACTGAAACATCTCTCTGATTCTCCAACCAAGGTCACCCTTGACTGTGGACTGGCATAGTGTTTCCCAATGTGTTGTGATTTGAGGGTTCTCACAGGCATTTATGCCTTCAAAAATATTTTTACAGCGAAACTTACCCTGTACCTGATAATCCTAAATTACTTCCCACATGAAAGTTACTCTTCATTTCAGGAATTAAGGAAGTCTGAGGTACTGCACAGATAAGGTTGTCTTGTTTGGTCGCAGAGGGCTGTTTGGTGGAAAGAGCCAGGCTGGCGGAATAATCCTCTTGCTACTATAAACTATTGACTCTGTCCATTCACTCTCTTCCCAGCTGCTGGATGGGCATCTGTTTGTGCCTTCCCAGAATGCATTGCTTCTTCCCAACATCTCATCATTTTTGCGTGGTGAATCATCTGTGCCATGCTGTGGGTGCCTTTGGTGAGTCTACACCGAGAAGCCCTCCTTTGTTCCTCTTCTGTGATGGTCTTTGATGTGTCAGTGTGGCTGGGTACATTTTCCAGTTAATCAGTCAAGTACTAACCCAGGTGTTTTGTAGACATAACTAAGCTCCCTAATGAGTCCATTTTACAGAGATTATCCCTGATAAGCTGGGTGAGACCGATTCAATTAGCTGTGGAACCTAAGGAGCTGAACCGAGGTTGCCCGGGAAGTGAAAATTCTGCTTGCAGGCAGCAGGGGTAACTCGTCGCTTAGAGTCTGGATGTGCCCAGCCCGCCAGCCAGCCCCCTTGCTTGTGTAAGCCACTTTCTTGCAATACAGCTCATCATGCATGTCTGTTATTGGTTGCATCTCTGGCTGAACTTGACTGGTAGATCTTTTCACCCTGCTTTCTCACAGTGAAATGAAATGGATGCCCCACTAGCCTTTAGTTTCCTCATCACCATATTTTCCCTTTCATTGCCATATTAGAGCCAAAAATAAACACAAAACAGCTTAGCCAGCTGGTGACTCTGACTGCCTATCACTCAAGGGGGAAAACATAAAGATTAAACCAGACAAACAATAAAACCTTATATTTTTTCATTCTAATAAAAGTGTCCCAGTAAAATCATTTAATAGCTGCTTTTTCTCTTGTTTTTATTCTATTTCCAACCCTAGATATTGTACTGTTTTTATACATTTTAATTTTACTTGGCCACAGCAAACAGTGACTAACAAGCTTATTTCTTTAATTGCAACAACAAAAAAACCTTAACTGATTCAGTTGCTGGCCAGTCTGGAAGACATAAACAAAACATGAATTTGTAAGTTTAAAACTTGTGAATTCTTGTTCAAAAGAGAGAATTCCTGAAAGGGCCTATAATCAGATTCACTTTTATTTTTTCTTTGGCATTAAGGCATGGGGTGAGAACATTATTAAAATATTCACATTTTGTAGTAGGAGTAATACATTGCATTATTATCCGTGATAAGCATTTTAATTCAACTTAGCCTATTCATTGAGCCACCCCAAACCTATAAAATGTGTTGAAGGGCAGATCTTAGTCGAGAAACAAGGTGTGGGAGTTGGTAGAGTATGTAGTGGTAAAATAAGGAGGGCCAAAGGGAAGTAGTGGGATTGTTACACTATTACAGCGCATAGTCATACTTGCCTCTTGGTAGGCAGTAAAATGGTCCCTAAAGATATCCACATTCTAATCCCTTGAACCTGTGAGTATGTTACTACCTTACACAGCAAGGAGGAATTTGGTGGCAGGTGAAGTTCAGGTTGCTAACAGGCTTATCTTAATTTAAGAAGAGGAACCTGGGTTGATATAATCAAATGGCTCTTCAGGAGTGGAGGAGGAATTTCATCTGAAGGATGAAATAAGAGAATGACTCTACCAGCCATTGCTGGCTTTGAAGGTTAAAGGGGGCTGTGAACCAGGGAGCACCTGCAACCTCTAGAAGGCAGAAAGACAAAGAAACAGGTTCTCCCACAGAGCCTCGAGAAGGAATGTAGACCTTCTGACACCTTGCTTTACCTCAATGGGACCCGCTTCAGACTTCTGAGCTACGGCAATGGGAAAGTAATGCATTTATGCCATGTTAAACCAGTAAGCTTGTGCACAATTTGTTATAGTAGCAACAGAAACTTACTGAGCTGTCTAAGCCATGAATATGATAGAAATAATAAAGGAGTTTAGCTGGTAAGCCCTGGAGGTGGTCTGTATGGTAGAAAGGAATCAAGTCATTTCCCTGTTCTACCACCCACTGGCAAAGTGACCTGCGGCATTGTAGTCTTTCTAAACTTCAGTTTTCTTATCTCCATCTTGGGCAGGAACCACCTTTTAAATGTCCCCCCTTCCCCTGAAAATTAAAGGCAACACAGTGTTGGTTTACTGTCTTGTCACCTCTGATCAAGGCCGGCTTTGCAGAGGCGGCACTGGAACCCACTGCAGGGCAAGGAGACTGTGAAAAGTAGAACAACTGAGAAAACCAGTTCTTGTGAGATGCCAGGTAATGATGAGACCAGGAAGATTATGGGTAACATGGAACCCAAAGGGACTGGGCAGAGGGGCAGTAACTGGCTTAAAGCAAAGAACTAGCAACCTGGCTTAGTGAGATTGGGTCAGGACTGCAGATCTTGGAGCTAGTCCCAGAGACAGGGACAGTGTGGCAGGTCTTCAGTAATATGGAGTCATCCCTGTGGAGGCCTAGATAGCTCAGACATCTAAAAGCATCTCAATAAATCTAGTCACCATGTTTATTAGTTACTGAGTTGCTTTAAGATGTTACTTGTTTTCTGTCACCTTAGTTTCCTTAACAATTAAAGAACCATATTAAGCTCACCTAGGCTAAAATTAGTTCCAGTTATATGTTCTTCTGTTTTATAACATATACTGAAGAAATCATTCACATACATCATCAATTTAAAGCACAGAGTTGAAAAGTATTTTCTATATTCACAGAGAAGTACCATCACATTGTAGTTTTAGAGCAGTTTTGTCCTCCCAGAAAGAAACACCTTGCCCATTAGCAGTCGTTCCTCATTTATCTCAGTATCACCTTAAATGTTGTCTACATTCTGTTACTGTATAGTGTTTCTTATTCTGGACATTCAATGCAACTAGACTTATGCAGTATGTGATGTTTTATAACCGTCTTCTTTTGTGTAGCATAATTTCTTTTAAATAGAAAAAATTCTCTTTTGCTGTAGTTTTCAGCATGTTTTTCTCATTGTTCTTCAAACTCTTTTTTTTCCAGAGCTTTATTTATTTATTTGAAAGAGTTACAGGGGGAGGGGAAGGAGGGAGGGAGAAAGAGATATTTTCCATCTGCTGGCTCACTCCCCCAAATGGCTGTAATGGCTGGTGCTGGGACAGACTGGAGCCATGCCCCTAGTATAATATTTTCAAGGTCTATTCTTGTTGTAGAGATATCACTATTCCATTCTTTTAAAAATTCTTAATAATATTTTATTTGGAAAAAGATGGGTAAAGCTGCTGCCTGCTATGTTGGCATCATTAAAAATTTTATTGTGTGGATAAACCATAATTATTTCTCCATTTTTTGTGTGATTTTTTAAAAAGATTTATTTATTTATTTGAAAGGCAGAGTTACAGAGAGGTGGAGGAAGGGAGAGAGAGAGAGAGAGAGAGACAGAAAAAGAGAGAGAGAGGAGGCTTCCATCTGCTGGTTCATTCTCCAAGTGGCTGCAATGTCCAGAGCTGAACGTGAAGCCAGGATCCAGGGCTTCTTCCAGGTCTCCCATGTGAGTGCAGGCCCAAGCACTTACTTGAACCATCTTCCACTGCTTTCCCAGGCTATAGCAGAGAGCTGGATTAGAAGTGGAGCAGCCAGGACCTAAACTGGCACCCATATGTGATGCTGGCACTGCAGGTGTCAGTTTTACCCATTATGCCACAGTGCTGGCCCTGTGATGTTTGTTTTTATTGCTCTTGGGAAGCCTAGGTGTGGATTACTTGGTCACATCTCTTTTACATTTGGTGAACTGCCGATCAATTTTCCAAATTGTCAACAGTATTTTACATTCTCACTGGCGGTATATGAGGGATCCAATTTTTCCACATATATACCAACATTTGTTGTTTTCCTTCGGATTATATCCATTCTACTGAGTATGAAGTGGTATCTCGCTGTGGTTTTGATTTTCACTTAACTGATGGCTAATGATATTGAGCATCTTTCCATGTGCCTGTTGGCCATTTGTATATCTTCTTTGGAGACATGACTATTCATATTATGGGCCCATTTAAAAATTTGTTTACATCCTCTTCCCAGTTGCAAGAGTTCTTTATTCTGGATGCAACTTTATTGTGAGACATGATTTTATCCTAGTCTACGTATCTTAGCTGATTGAGGCTACTTTAACAAATATTGTAGATTGGGTGACTGAAACAGCAATCATTAATTTCTTACGGTTCTGGTGGTTAAGAAGTCCAAAGTCGAGGGCTGGATGTTCTCTTTCTTGGTAAGCACCATCTTCCTGGCATGCAGACAGATGCTATCTTGCTATATCCTCATGTGATGGAGGGAGAGATACCATCTCTCTCGTGTCACTTTCTATAAGGGCACTAATCCATTCCTGAGAGCTCTACTCTTATGGCCTAAAATTGCCTCCCCAAAGTACCACCTCCAAATACCATTACCTTGGGGATCAAGGATTTGACTTCAAGTTTTCAGTCAGTCTTTTGCATTGTTTTTGCCTTTTCATTTTCTTGATAGTATTCTCTGAGGGACAAAAGTTTCTAATTTTGATGAAACCTATTTTGTCTATTTTTACTTTATTGCTTATGTTATGGTATTATATCTGATAAAACAATATTTAACCCAAGATCATGAAAATTTATGCTTATGCTTTTATCTAAAACTTTTATAAATTTGTCTCATATTTAGGACTATAATTCACTGTGAGTTAATTTTTATGGGTAATGTAAAATTGGAAGTCCCAATTTATACGTTTTTTGATATGTATATTGAGTGTCCAAGTACATTTGTTGAGAAAGCTTCTTTCCCCATTTAATTGTCCTGGCACCCTTATCAGAAAACAACTGGTCATACATCTGGGGCTCTCAATACTATTCCATTTATCTATTTTTGTCTGTCCTTATGCCAGTACAATATAATTTCAATTACTGTAACTTTTTAGTATGTTTTGGAACCAGACATTCCTTTTTTCTTTTTTGTTTCTACATTTGTGGTGACTCTAGGTCTCATGTATTTTTATGTAAATTTCAGTATCAATTCATAAACTTGCACAAAAGAGAAGTCCAACTTGCATTTTGATAGGCATGTGGTGAATCTATAGATCAGTTTGGAGAGATTTGCCACCTTAACAATCTTGAATACTCTTATAGTTGAACATTATCTTTCCATTTACATAATTCTTTTTAAAAAATTCTTTATAATTTTCAGTATACAAATGTCATGGTTCTTTTGGTCCATGTGGCGTACTTAAGTATTTTATTCTTGTTGAAGCTATTATATCACTATTTTCCTAATTTAATGTGAACATTTAATTTCTATTGGACAGGTAAATAATTGAGTTTTGTATATTCTTGTATCTGAAAATCTTGCTGAACCCATTTACTATTTTAGTTTTTCTCATGAATGATTTTATATATCTATATGATTATGATTTCCTGTGTACAAAATCATGCTACCTGAAAATAGAGGTAATTTTACTTTTTCCTTCCAATCTCCTGCATTTTTTTCTTCCTTAATTGTTTTGGCTAGAACTTCCAGGACAGTATTACAATGTTAAATAAAAGTAGTGGTAATAGACATTTTGTCCTGCTGCTGGCTTTCGGGGCAAAGCATTGCATTTTTTGCTATTTAGTGTGATGTTTGCTGTGAGGTTTTTGTGAATTTTGCTTATTAACTTGAATTTGTTCCTTTCTATTTCTAGATTGTGAGTCATTGTTATGAAAGATTTTTGAATTTAATAGCATTTTTTTTTCTACAGAGTTGAGATGATCTTATGACTCTTATATTCTATTAATTAAGTGTATTATATTAATTGGTACTGTACACTAACTTGCAATCCTAAGATAAGTCCCACTTGCTTATGGTATATAGTCATTATGATATGTCGCTGGGTTTGTTTCAATAGAATTTTGCATCTGTATTCACAGAGGATATGATCTATTGTTTACTATAATTGTGATATTTCTGTATCAGAATGGTGTTTGGTATTGGAGTAATTCTGGGCTCAAAGAATGAGTTGAGAGTGTTCCTTCGCTTTTACATTTGGAAGAGATAGTTGAGAATTCATTCCAACATCTTTTGGGGGATAATTATTTATTTATTTATGAGACAGAGATATGAGAGAGAGAAAGAGAGAGAGCAAGCACACTTCCATCTACCGGTTCACTCCTCAAATGCCCGCAACAAACAAAGCCAGGAGTAGGAAACTCAATACACATGCATGGGCAGATACAATCACTTGAGCTATCACCTGCTACCAGCCAGGGTGCACATTACCAGGGAGATGGAAGTGGGAATGAAGCTAGAACTCAAACACAGGCACTCCCATATGGGATGCAGGCATTCCAAGCAACATCTTGACCACTAGGCAACTGCCTCCCCACCAACCATTTTCAAACATCTGGTGGAATTCATCAGTGATAACAGCTGGGATGACATGTTATCTGTGGGATGTGCTTACTAATTCAATCCTGTGCTTAGTACAGATTTATCAAATTCTATGTATTCATGAGTAAATTTTGATAATTCATGTATTTCTAGCAATTTGTCTTTTCGGTATGGGTTAATTTGCTGGAAAGAAAGCTTTCATGGTATATAACAGTTATTACTTTACTAAATTTGGTAGTAATTAATATCTTTTCTTTCATTTCCTGTTTTGTTATTTGTGTACTCTTCTCCCCCACCTCCCATCTCTCTTTCTCTTTGTAAATCTAGCTCTAAAAGTTTGTCAATCTTATTGATATTTTATAAGCATCAAATTCTGGTTTCATTGATTTTTCTGGTTTTCAGTTATCTCTTTAATTAATTATTTTTTTTTTCATTTCTTTTCTTAGGATTTAGTGATCCCAGTGACTTTGTAAGGTAGATTAGGTTAGTGGTTTATGGACTTCTCCTTTTCAGGGTGGGATTTTATGGATAAAAATCTCCTCTAATCATTGTCTTGCCTGTTGGTGTGGGCTTGAGAAGGATGTGTATTCTGTTGTTGGGTATTTTCTTTATAGACATCTGCTGAGTGTAATTGCTCTACAGTCTTCTTCGGTTCTTTGGGTTGATACTCTGCTTGATGGTTCTCTGTATTTACTGAAAATAGGGCAGTGACATCTCCAACTGTTATTGTTCAATTATCCATTTCTGACTTCAATTCTCTGTTTTGCTTCTATTTCTTGTTACTGGGGAAGGGGATCTGTTCTATAGGTTCTTATATGTTTATAATTATGTATTTCAGGTGGATTGGGTTTCTCACCATTATGAAATATCTCCTTATCTCTATTTTTTATGTTTTGCTTTTGACTCTTTCATCAAGTTTTCAGGCAGATACTTCAATCTTCAAGATTATAATTTGCATGGTATAGATGCTTTGATTTTGTTTGTATCTTTGAATCTAAATTGTATCTCCTGTATTAGCATGTGGTAAGATCTCACTTTCTTACTCAAGCCAAATATCTATTGCTATTGATTCCACTGGTTATTTCATATTTAAAGCTGTTACTCATGTTTTCGAATTTACAGCTGGGAGCGGGCGTTGTGACACAGTGGATTAAGCTACTGCTTCAAGGCTACATCTCAGACTGGAGTGCCAATCACGGTCCTGGATACTCTGCTTTCCAAAGAGTTCCCCATTAATGTGTTGGGGAAAGCAGCAGAATATGGCCTAAGTCCTTGGGCACCTTCTATCCATGTGGAAGATCACACCAGGATGGAGTTCCCAGCTCCTGGATTCTGCCTGGCCAGACCTGGATTTTGCAAGAATTTGGAGAGTAAACCAGCAGATGGAAGATCTGGAAGATCTTATCTCTCTCTCTCCTCCTCTCTCTGTTACTCTGCCTTTCAAATAAACAAATAAATAAATAAAGGATTTACATCTGTCATTTTGCTTTGTTTCTATAATACATTTCATATATTTTTGTTCCTCCTTTATTGCTTCCTTTTCTTTCAATACTGTATCTTTGACTTTCACACTCAGGTGCATTGTACTTAAGATTTTGACTCTTTTTGTATTTATTGTATCATGGGTTTATTAGGATTCTTAGATATGTAGATTAGTGTTTTTAATATGTCTTAGAAAATTTCAGATATTATTTTCAAAAAATTTTTCCTTTATCTCTCCTGTCCCACTCATTCTACATACATTGGCTTGTATATATGGCATCCCATATTTGTTTTAGACTGTGTTCATTTTTCTTAATACTTTTTTCTCTTTGTTCTTCAGGTCACATAATCTCTTTTGATTTGTCTTCAAGTTTTCTTCCTTCCTTCCTTCCTTCCTCCCTCCCTCCCTCCCTCCCTTCTACCCACCCTTCCTCCCTCCCTCCCTCCCTCCTTCTCTCTCTCTCTCTCTCTTTCTTTCTTTTGCCAATTCGTGTGTATATGGAGCCCCTCTTGTGTTTTTATGATTATTTTGTGCTTTTTCTCATTTTTATTCTGTTGTTTTAGGTAGGTTTTGTCCTTGTATTAATGTTCTCTATTTGATAGGATGTTGTCATGATACCTTTCTTTACTGCTTCAAGCAGTGTTTCATTAAGTTTTTGAACATCCTTATAACAGCTTCTTTATATTCTTAGTCTGCTAAACATATTATCTGGATCTCTCCAAAGGCAGTTTTTATTGCTTGCTATTTTTTTAGATATGGATTACACTTTTATATTTCTTTTGTGTGCCTCACAATTTTGGGTTGAAAACTGAACATTTAAATAGTACTTGTATATTGTACCAACCTTGGATATTGATTCCTGAAGGATTTGCTATTTTCTTTTCTTTTTATTTATTTGCTGAGTGCCTTGGCTGAATTTATGAACTTGCTTCTTGATTGCACTTGTCCAGGGAAGAGTTCCTGAGGGCAGGACCTGTAACAGAACTTGGTGAGGAAGGTGTATAAAGGAGTGCATCATGGTTTAAATGCTTTAGTTCTTATCAAACCAACGTTTAGCAGATGTTCATGAATGAATGTTTCTCTGTTTGATGTATTCACTTAGAAAAACTTCCAGAGACTTCAGGTACTTTTAAAACACAATTTTTATCAGTTAAATGTTTGCTCAGAGCAATCTCCATGTAGTTCCTTATTTTGTCATTCTGGAAGTCCTACCTCTCTTTAGTTTCATTCTGTCATTAATTTGAAGTTATTCTAGTCCCTGTTAAGTAAGCGAGTGAAAATTATTTCTGTGATAAGCTCTTGGCATTAACCTAAATCGCTGAGAATTTCTGACATGTGCCCAAGTTAAAAACGGAAATCATTGACACCAGCTTAATCTATCTTCCAGCAAGAGTCCAAGTCTCTGCGAGAAAGCTGTATGAGCACTGGGCTTATACCAAGGCACTGGTTTCAACACAGAGATCGATTGAGGTGTCCATTTAGATATTTGTGGAAGCATCTGACTACAGCGTGGAGACACACAGGTTCAGTTCCCCAAATGTATCTGTGGACACTTAGCAGAACTGCTCTCTCATCTAGTAAGAAAAAAAAAGATGAAGAGTAAGATAAGAAATAGAGCTTTTGCATTTAAAATAAAAGGTTTATACATCAACTGAAAAAAACACAGGTAAAGATCAGAGCACAATCTATTGAATAGTTAATAGTGATTAATCGTGTTATGTTAGTATTGTGAAAAACACAGAATTTTGAGACTATTTTGAAGTAGAAGAAAGAAAATAACTAGAGTGATACAGAAGAATGCCTCGAATATTTTATTTTTATTTCCAGGGGAGAGAAAGCAGCATTTCATTAAGTCTTCTAGTATGCTCTCAGATTTTCCAGTTAGAGTCTTTTTGTTTCCTATTATGTGAATTTTAGGATAGTATTTCAAAATATTTGTTGAATATATAGTTAAAAGTTTATAGAGCGGGCATTTGGTGCAGTGCTTAAGACACTGCTTGGGATGCCAGAGTCCATCAGAGGGCCTAGTTCAATATTCAGCTGTGTTCCTATTGGTGTGCGCCTTCTGAGACAGCAATAGAGACACAATTACTTGGCTCCCTGCCACCCATGTAGGAAACCCAGATGGACTTTCCAGCTTGTGGCTTCAGCCTGGCCCAGCCTGGCTGTTGTAGGCATTTCAAAAGTGAACCAACAGATGGGCTGTCGGTCTCTCTCCTTAGCTTGTAGCTACAACTTTAACATCTACTTTTATTTTTATGTCACTCTTTCAGCTTCTTATGTGTGTCTCTTCTCTATATGTTTCTTATCTTGTAAAGACACTTGTCATTGAAATTGAAACTCACTTGAAAACTCCAGGATGATATTGTCTTGAGATTCTTACTTACAGCTACTAAGACTCTTTTCCAAATGTGTACACAGATTCTCAAGATGAGGACGAGGTGTGTATATATATATATGTGGGACCTCCATTCAATCTGCTACTACAGAAGTGGGTCTTGAAGGAGAGAAATGGAATGAAACAGAGATTCTGCATGGACCTGCATGAGAATATGGTGAACCTAGGAACGTGCAAAACTCAGTGGCAAGTAACCAAGTTTCAGCCACCAGAGGCTGGAAAAAGAGAGAGAATACTGTTGCTTAGAGCCTTTGGAGATGTGTAACTCTGCTGATACCTTACTTTCAGAGTTTTGGCATCCAGAATTGTGAGAGAATGAGTTCTGTGGCTGGAAGCCATCTAGTTGGTGGTAATTTTCGACAGTAGTCGCATGACAGAAATGCCTACTTGTACCTCATGCTCTCACTTCAGCATTTAGTGTGCATCTTTCTAACCCAATATCCACATGCATTATGAGAACATTTGTGGATCCTTGATAAATGCCTTGTTTTATTAGCAATTAAAGGAAGGTAAGTGTCAAATGGCTACAAGGCAACTAAATGTACCAAGAAAATGTGCTGATTGTTCCAGACCAGTTGCAAGGAAAATAATCTACCTGCTTAGAAATTATGTTTCCAAGCTTGTTAACTATAACCTCAGTGTGTGTATTGAATTAATAAAGTGAAAATATCCTTTGACTGCCAAGAAGGAAAAGAGGTGTACTCAGGGGTTGCTAGAGATGTTATACCTGGCTTCAGTGGTTGTAGACAGCAATTTAGTAATGTAGGGTAAGAATCATAAAGATGACCATTTGCCTTGGTAATGCTATTTGAGGATTAAATCTAAAAGAAATAATATAGAAGAGGATAGAAAAAAAAATCTTTCAAGGATTTTCTATACATAAGAATCAAAGCAAAGTAACAACAAAACCAAACAGCAAACCCTGGAGTAGTCTGAAGACCAAACTGTGGGCTGGTAGCTAGAGTATGTCCAATTCATTCATGTAGTGAATTTTATTTTTTAAAAATTTTCCAGGTTATTTTAAAAATTATTTTAATTTTTAATTAAGTTTTAACAGATTCAATGTGGCTTGTAGGTACAAGCCTAAGAACATAATATTCCCTTCCTCTCTCCCACCTTCTCTCCCCATCTCCCTACCATCCTCCTTCCTTCTCCCTTTCTTTCCATCTTGTTTTAGTTTTTGAGATAACATATCTTAAATTTACATTACAGGAAAAAGGCTTAGTCCTTCTCAGAATAAGAAGTTTAAAAAGTATAGAGTAAAAAAAAAAAAAAAGGTTTAGTGGGAATATAGAAAATGGCTATAAATAATAATTAAACAGAAAAACGACCATTTCACCCACATGTAATAAATTTTAAAGTAATCACAGAACATTAAAACTATAGTAATATAACATTCTGAATCATGGGTTTGACAAAGGCATAAGACACTTTTTTTTAACTTTTATTTAGTAAATATAAATTTCCAAAGTACAGTTTATGGATTACAATGGCTTTATTTATTTATTTGAGAGGTAGAGTTACAGACAGTGAGAGAGAGAGACAGAGAGAAAGGTCTTTCATCTGCTGGTTCACGCCCCAACTGGCCACAACGGCTGGAGCTGAGCCAATCTGTAGCCAGGAGCCAGGAGCTTCTTCCGGGTCTCCCACATGGGTGCAGGGGCCAGAGGACTTGGGCCATTTTCTGCTGCTTTCTCAGGCCATAGCAGAGAGCTGGATGGGAAGAGGAGCAGCTGGGACTAGAACCAGTGCCCATATGGGATGCCAGCACCGCAGGCGGAGGATTAACCTACTGTGCTGGATCAGAAGTGGAGCAGCCTCGTCTTGAACCAGTACCCATATGGGATGCGGGCACTTCAGGCCAGGGCATTAACCCACTGTGCCTGTCAGTTTTTGCTTACCTGGAAAATACCTTATTTCTCCTTCATTTTTAAAGGGAACTTTGCTAGTTATAATATTCAGGAATGGAAGTTTTGTTTTTGTTTTTTTGTTTTTTTTTTTTTTCCTTTTAAGACCTCGTGTATACCATCACTCTATCTTCTAGCTTACAGGGTTTTTGCTGAGAAGTCTCATATTAATCTAATTGGTTTTCCTTTATATGTAACTTGATACTTTTCTCTTGCTGTCTTTAGGATTCTCTCCTTGTCTCTAACTTTTGGCAATTTGATGACAGTATGCCTTGGAGAAGACCTTGTTTGTTGAGACTGCTTGGGGTTCTTTGAGCTTCTTGTATCTGGATATCCATATCTCTTTCAAGAGGTAGGAAACTTTCAACTATTTCATTTAGCAGGTTCTCAGTGGCTTTTTTCCTTTGGTTCCATTTCAGGAAAACCTGTAATACAATATTTGGTCATTTAACCGTGCCCCTTATTTTGAGTAAACTTGCTTCATAATTTTTAATTCTTTTCTGTTTATTTTTGTATGGGTAATTTCAAAATTCTTTTTCTCAAGAGATTCTTCTTCTGTTTGGTCTGTCCTGCTTTTAAAGCTTTCAGTTGTATTTTTTATCAAATATTTTATTTATTTTATTTATTTTTTTAACTTTTATTTAATGATTTTATTTATTTATTTATTTGAGAGGTATAGTTACAGACAATGAG